CCCCCCCTTTAAAGGGACTTTTTTTTCCCTTAAAGGGACTTTGATTACATGCAAGAACAGTTTCTTAAAAATACAGTTGTACACTACACGTGCATATTCAAAATAATTAAGTGCGCTTTTTTCACGAGGATGTGCAGTGGTCACTGACCATGCCAAGGTGTTGCTATGTGGTTGCTAAGGTGTTCAGAATAGTTTTTAGCACATTATTATGTGGCTGTTAGGTGGTTGCTTACATACTAATACACATGCAATGTATTTGATTATAATTTTAACTGTAGTGTGTTATTTGATATTTTATTTAAAGTAAATGTATTTGAAATGCACTAAATTGCATCGTCATCATCACAAATGTGTAATTAATAATATATTTAAATACATGACATACAAGTTTTCAAAAATAAATTTGTTTTCCATAAATGCTTGTTAGAACATTCAGCAGTACACTTAAACCACATTGCAAAGACAGAAATATTATGAAAACACATATAAAGATGTACTTAAGTCCTATGTAAAGGCATAGTTCACCCAAAAATTACAGAATGTAGGTAACCAAAAAGTTGACGGTAGCCATTGACTTCCATAGTATGGGAAAAAACACTACCGCTAACTGTCTGGTTACCAATATTCTTCAAAACATCTTCTTATGAGTTCAGCTGAAACAAATTCATACAGTTTGGAACAACTTGAAGGTGAGTAAATAGTGACAATTTTCATTTTTGAGTGAACTATCCCAAACGCCACTCAGATTTTCTTCAGAAAAAGTACAACTTAGTTTGAAAATAGCAGAGTCCTCAAACAACTATAACAATTTGAACGTGTCTTTACTGAAAGAAAGTTCATGCAGTAACCCTTAAGTTGACAGATTGCCTTGTTCCGGGATCAGTCCCATTACCACTGCTCTAGTATATATACCTCAATACCCATCACAGCAGTAGCACTACATACAGCATCACAGTCAAAAACTATCAGTGATTCACTGTCCATCTGTGGGATGAGACGTGCTTCGTTCTCTAATCAGGACCATGTGAGCTTTATCTGCTGGGGTTCTGGCCATCTGTAAACAGGTCAAACAAAAAGATGAAAAGTTTGCACTATCTCTTTGTGGTTTTCTTCTTTACGACTGTCGACTCTTGTTCTGTTTCCTGAGATCAGCGCACACAGGAAGTGCTCTCTTTCTGTAACGGGCACATGAGGCTTCAGGCCTAGTCAAAATCACCGTGTTAGTTTGAACGTAAGTGTGTTTCCAGAGCGCAGTTGACAGTGCTGTGGGTGTTGAATGTTCCTTATGTTAGGGAGTGTTTGGTTTTGTTTTTCTTGCTGGTGATGTGGAGAGTCCCTCAGAGCATGCTTCATTTTGCATAGGGGAGGATTGTGGGAGGAGGGTGTGAAAGCAGATTCTCCATCCACTGTTTGTTTTGCTCGTTGGATAAACATTGGAACGTTGGATGAGCATTTATATAATTTCATGATCGTGTAATATGATATGATATCTTCATCCTTAGCTATTGACCAGTTGACATTTAATTTTACTATCCTTAACAAAGAAGCTGATATTTTATAAATGTATTGTATATGTGTGTCTGTGTGTGTGTGTGTGTGTGTGTGTGTGCATGTATTTACAAAATATCACATATTTTATCACATATATTTTATATATTTTATCACATATATCTTAAATAAAATCTAGAAATCGTCTTGAAACACAGTTATTGCATCTGAACATGGGTGTCAAAAATATATTTTATAGCATGTAATTTTAGAACTTGCAGGTTAATATGTATAAAGATAAATCAGTTTATATGTATTTTGAATTCATATTTTCAATTCAGTTTTAATAATGCATTTACTGAATTTTGATTTAGTGACTCGTCTATGTGCTGTCAACCTGAAAGTAAATATTTTCATTTAAAATTTTATTTTAATAATTTTGTTTTAGCTTGGTACAACGACAAGTGTAAGGTCAATTATTATTATTATTATTTTAATTTTCAGTGTTATTTTTGTATCATTAATTTAGTATTATAGTTTTTGTTAATATTTTGAATTAGATTTGGAATATTTTCTGTTATTGTTTTGTTGTAGTTAAAGTTTTTTTTTTCTGTTTTTATTAGCTTTTACTTATATCTATATAGCTTTTATAAAGTTTTATTTTTATTTTATTTATTTTTTTAAGCACTTATCTAAATGAAAGTGGGGATTTTTGCTTTGGTAACTAGCTGAAATAAAACTTTTTTTTTTCCCTTTTTTTTTCATTTAATTGTATTAACATTATTTATTTAATTCTTTAAACAACGCTGTATTTGTGATATTGCACAAAAAAATGTCTTACACTTACACACTAAATGGCTCTTCATACATGAAAATATAGCTTCCTTAGTATTTTAAAAATGGGTTCCTTGCAAAGAGAGCATCATATTTGAGTGTCTTTGGCATCAGGTCTGACAGCCCCTGCCTTGTTTAAGTATATGCATTCATTGGTGTCATTTTTGTCCATCAGGTAGAGGATGACAGCGCTCTCACAGCGGTGTACGTAAACCTCCCCCGGGTGCGACGGAGTACCCCTGACCCCTCCAGTACCATCGCTTCTCCATTACAGGAGTTCCCGGATGCTCCCGATACCCTTCTGTTAGACTCTGCAGGATGGGAGATCCATACTGACGACCAGAGCGGGCAAGAGTACTACTACCACCCCTCTACGGGCCGCAGCACCTGGGAGTATCCACTCAGCTACTCCATGGAGTCATCAGTGGGGACAGAGGAGGCCCGTTCTCCTCCCTCATTCCCCCAGTCTCCCATCAGCTCGCCCCTAGTCCCTTCTTCTCAGAGGTGGAGCTCGGACTGGGAGAAGGTGCTGGATCAGAATACTGGCAGGCATTACTTCTTCAACCCTGTGTCGGGTCAGAGTTCATGGGATCCCCCAGAGGACATCACCTCACCAGGGCAGTTTCTGGAAGATTGCCCGGTATGGAGGTTTTATGTTACCATTTTATGGTATTTGTGTGCATATAGACCTTAGTCAGGTTAGACACCATATTGGATTTTACATGGATGAAAACGAGGCTGTGAGGGATTGACAGTCTTTACAAAAACCTACTGTATAAAGCTCCTAGGTCATTTTCCCAACTCACAATTTTCAGAACTATTTTATGGAGGTTTTTGTCTACTGAAAGTTTAGGAGAGAAGCTTAACAATCACTATGTTGTTAAACTACATTACAATCTATTGAACACACTGTGTTCTATTCCTCACAGCCTTGCTTCCAAGGCTGTCAAAATATGCTGCTACACTGACTAAAATCTATAGCTTTTTTAAGTTACAGTGGTTCTCAATCATTTTGACTCCACGGCCCCCATTGCCAACAACAATATTCAAAGGCCCTGTGACTTTTGCAGTTGAAAATATTTTTTTTACTATTTATGTAAATGATTTTATAGTTATGGTTATAGTTTTCATTCTTGGTGTCAATGGGTATTAAACCAGTGGTTTTCAGCCTTTTTGTCTCCATGATCCCCCATTGTCCACAGCAATGTCGAAGACACCATGATTTTTGAAAAAGATAATAAAAAAAAAAAAAACATTTTAAATACTATTTTTTAAATATTTTAAAAAATAAATTAACAGAACAGTTTGATCAGATATTTCATCCAAAAATTCAAAGTCTGTTATCATTTACTAACCCATGTGTCATTTCAAACCTGTCTGACTTTCACTCTTCTCTAAAACACAAAATTCAATATTTAAAAAAATGCTGGTAACTAATCGTTTCAGTTCCCATTGATTTCCATAGCATTTTTTTTGTCAAACAGTTTGGTTGCCAACAATCTTCTAAATATCTTGTGTACGATGGTATGGCTGTAGGCTAGTTTTGTAATTTGGTGAACTTAATGAAGCGTCTTGTTGACAGTGGATCAAGTCGCTAGACGATCGAGGACGGACGTACTACTACCTTCGAGACGGCAGCAAGTCCCAGTGGAACTTACCTGAGGTACAGTGAGCACATTTTGGAGGGTCCACCTGAGGCCTGTTCATGCAGTTATGCTGTCTGCTTCTTTAAAAGCTTGAGGTCTTTAAAGTTGGGTGGATGTTGATTGGCTGTTGATGTTTTTATCATTCATCAGCTGGAAGAAATAGGTCTGTTTTCAGTGATATCGTTTGATTATTATGATTATTAAAACTTTATAGTTATTGATATAGTTATCATCTTTGGTGTGAACAGGCCTTAAAGCAGTGGTTCTCAACGTTTTGTGTCCAAAGCCCCCCATCATCCATAACATTATTTAAAGGCCCCATGACTTTTTGTGATCAAGCTGGTTAGGGACTAAATGAATATTTCATCCAAAAATTCAAAGTCTGTTATCATTTACTAACCCATGTGTCATTTCAAACCTGTCTGACTTTCACTCTTCTCTAAAACACAAAATTCAATATTTAAAAAAATGCTGGTAACTAATCGTTTCAGTTCCCATTGATTTCCATAGCATTTTTTTGTCAAACAGTTTGGTTGCCAACAATCTTCTAAATATCTTATTTTGTGTTCAGTAAAAGAAAGGAAGTCATACAGGTTTGCAATGACACGAGGGATAAGAAATTTTTTTTCCCTCGCAATTTATTCCTGTCAGTAAAATGTTTTTAGTGCTGGAATAACTAGAAAAATGTATGTTCATAAAATGTATAAAAATGGGCAAGGATTTCATTTTCCTAACTTATCCAAGTCTAGAAATCATACTTTTATAATTAGACTTTTCCATGACCATGGGAATCCTGGCTGTCAAGGAGTAAACTAAACTGTGACATATCTTGATTTTTTGCTGTTTTATCATATTTTAATCCATTGAAAGATATTTTAATCCATTGAAGGATCCATTGAAAGATTGCTGAGAAGCACTGTCCTAAAATAGTTCACCTGAAAATGAGTGAAACTGGGGCTTACTTTCATGTTGGTCTGACCCCAAAGGATTTTCTATATGAAGTTAAAACACAAAATTATATATTTGGCAGAATGTCCATGTTGCTGTTTTCCTTTTGTAAAATTGGCTGGTAATTAATACACTAGGGAAAAAACGGTGTAGGATTTACTTTTACGATTTTCACTCAGAAATTGCTAGTAAATGTCACAAAGAAAAGGCAAGTAACAAATTGAATTAAACTTGGAATTTTGAATTAGAAAGACTAAACGTGCTCCAATAACACCTTTGAAAAATATTTTTTACGGTGTACTAATGCGCTCAACAAAGTACAAAAAAAAAGTACCATTTCTGAATACAAATTCTCTCTCACACTTGTAGTACTCTGGAAGTCCAGGACAGTATGGAGTGGGAAATGGGGCCTCAATAGAGCAGGATACAATGGTATCCAAGCAGAACTGGAGGCACAGTGCAGGATACCAGGAAGATGTATGTACTCACACACATTTTCTTTGAATTTCTACCACTGCATGTGTTTAGTTGATCCAGCAGCTCACCCACACTCATAAACAACGAGTGATGCCCTGACGCATGTGATGCACACCTGATCCTTCTCGCGTGTCCTTAGTGACCATGTTTCCTAAATAGTCCCTAGAATGCACCTGAGACTCCGTTGGTTATAGAGCTGCTCTATTTACATCCCTCCTACCCACCCAGTATTTGAGATCCTATCATTTCAACATGCAAACATAAACTCAACATTTATCCCGTGTTCACTGAACTGATCCATGGAGATCCAATTCATTTATGAACACACTAGCATACTCTACTGTAATACTAATGGTGTTTACATTGGTGTGCAATGGACAAATGTAGCTGTGCACTGAAAATTCTATATTTTGACCAAAGTTAAATAGTCTTTTCTAGGGCATTATGCAATGGAAAAATGTAGTGGTGTAATAAAAATGAAAACTGCTGCTCTTTTTTGAGAATCTAGTATATTACTATACTGATTTACATGTTATTTTCTCTTAACAGAAAAGTCACTCATCATATCCTCAGCATACACCAGACAGCGACGCCTCCAGCTCTCCTGAGATGCCACATAATGTAAGACTCCACATCAAACATTTATGCCTCTCTAAATTTAAATTTTACGGTAAAATGCATGAATGAATGCATTGTGTTTAGGCATTATACATGTGATCATTTTATGCTCATAATGTGCTTAATGGCATGAATTATAGCTAAAATCATGTGAGCTGATGAGTAGACATGCCAAATCCTTATTGAAATGTTTTTCTCTCTCTTCTATGGTAAGTGTTGGGTTTGGTAATGCCAGTATAGAGGTGTTCCATAAGTTGCACAGGAGAATATAATTATACAGTTACACAATACATGCTGAGTAAAAGTATTTATGCAGGTTAGGACTAGTGGAGCTATGTCTAATCGAAAGTTTCTGATTATGACTAGAAGAATGACCCATTTAATTCATTTAAAACAGTCTGTGCAGACCAAACAGATCACCAATACTCACTGTAAACACATGAAGAAAGATCTAAGATTACAAAACATGTGATGTCAAAATCCGCAGATAGTCACGTGCATGCAATATTATTTTACCACACTGTCCCCTGGTGGTTACTAGTGAAACTTACAGCCTGATTGCTGCCTTCTACTGAAATATGCAAGTACCAAATGTATCATGATACTTGATACCATGAGTTTTGGACATGATATCATGGCAGTGCTTTTTGTGTTTTTTTTTTCTTCTTGACATTTACTTGGGTAGTACTATAATATTCTTTGAAATATCTTAGAGTTACATTAATTTAATTATTCAGAACCATGGCAAATATCAAAGTACAATAGTATTATCATTACTGTTCAAACTCCTATTAAATTTCACAAATAACTACAAAGAAACAGCAAATAATACATTGAATTGAACGTGAATGTACTCCAATAATCTTTGTTTTATTTACTACATTTTGCAGTGTATATAAGCATGTATTAGTGCTGTCAAACGATTAATCGCGATTAATCGCATCCAAAATAAAAGTTTTTGTTTGCATAATATATGTGTGTGTTCTGTGTATATTTATTATGTATACATAAATACACACACACATACAGTATATATTTTGAAAATATTTGCATGTATTATTCATATAATTTATATTATAAATAAATATATTTAATAAATAAACATAACCTATTTTTCTGAAATATATACATGCATGTGTGTGTATTTATGTTTACATAATAAATAAACACAGCACACATACATATATTATGTAAACAAAAACTTTTATTTTGAATGCGATTCATCTCGATTAATCGTTTGACAGCACTAGCATGTGTACTATACTAGCAAATCTCAACTGTGTGATATATTGTCTATCGTTTATATCTTCACAAAGTATGGCTATATTGTTGCACAGCTCTTTATATAATGTATATAAGTATGTCCAATTTTATCCGCATATACTCACATAAAAAAGCAAAATATGAACTATCTTAGCAGCCAGCTCTAAACTGCTAAATATGGCTATAAAGTAGGGATGTAACGATTCACTCAACTCACGATTCGATTCACGATTTTTTTTTTTTTTTACAAAATGCGATTTAAGACAAATTTTTTTTACAAAATGCGATTTTTTTATTGCTTGGACAAAATACTGTACGTTTTTGTGTACAGTATTTTGAAATAAATTGAAATATAACACTATAATAATATACTAATATAGCACTTCGTAAATTATTGCTCTTTTGTTGGTTTTGATTGCTTCTATTGTCCTCATTTGTTAGTCGCTTTGGATAAAAGCGTTTGCTAAATA